TGCGCAGCCAACTTAAATGTAACACAACAAAAGCAACCCAGGTGGAACTTGAACACAGAGGCTGATGACATAAACCATTAGGCCACTGGGACTTTTCTATGCTTATTCTAATAGCTATAGTGTCACGTTGAACTTTTCATACTTGAATATCTTGTTCAGCCAATTTAAACAAAAGCTCTCAATGATGACCAAGGTGGGACTCGAACCCACAATCCCCAGCTCCAAAGGCTGGTGCCTTATCCAGTATGCCACTGGGCCTTTTTTGTTGTTCCACCCACCAACCAAACAAAACAAAAGCAATCCAGGTGGGACTTGAACACAGAAACTAATGCCATAACCCTTTAGGCCACTGGGACTTTTTCTGGTGGAGCCAGAGGTATTCACAGACAGTCTGGCTCACACTAAACTAAAAAAAAATTCCTCATAAGATTGCCAGTTCTATGCTTATTCTCATGGCTATAATGTCACTTTGAACTTATCATGCTTTAATTTCTTGCATAGCCAATTTAAATGAAACCCCTGATTAGGCCACTGGGCCCTCTGTTCAGTTAACCCACAGACAGTCTGATGCAAGATAAACTGATAGATCTTTCCTTAAGGAAGTCAAACTGACAGGGCTTTCAGAAAATTGCCAGTTCTATGCTAACTCTCATGCTCCTTTGTCACACCTATTGTGTAACTTTGAACTTATCATCCTGGAATTTCTTGCGCAGCCAATTTAAATGTTGGTTCTCAAAGATGACCCAGGTAGGACTCGAACCCACAATCCCCAGCTCCGAAGGCTGATGCCTTCTTTTTTTTTTAATTAAAATTACACAAATTTCATACATTCACAGCTTTACATTTGAAGTGTATTCACAAAACAAAACAAACAAAAAAAAAAGTTAGAACATTTCAGGCAAAATTACATTAAAACCAGACCATGTTTTTACAATGTATGGGTTATTTTCTACAATATATTTGTTAAATACAACCATTTGTCTATTCATATTAAAATAATCATATATGTCCTCTATCACTGCAGTCAAATACTGTTTAAATAAGCTACACAATAACAGTTCCTTTTTCTTCAATGTAATTTTATTCCTTCGTCTCCAAATCGTATATCTTGCTACTGTTAACCATAAATTTAAAGTATAAACATTTTTTGCTTTTCCATTAAAGCCAAATAAAAACAATGTTTCCCATTCCTCTAACCAATCATTCTGATCACTTAAAAACACTTTGATTGGCAAAAGATTGCAGTGCTCGCAAACACTCGAAGCAAAAATTATGCGGATCATCCTTCGAGATGAGCCTCTGACAAGGACGCACGCATCTCTTCTCAGACTCCGACATAATGATGGTAAGTAATGTCTTTCCTTCTCTTTTTTTTAACTGCAATGCAGCAGGGAGAAACACTTGCTTCTCACAAACACACACCCACAATACGGTCCTTGAAGACAAAGAAACCTCAGGATGTGTCCGTTTCACGTGTATTTATAACCTCTCAGCTGCGTGTAATTAATGACGTCACCTACCGAAGTTATTTAAGCCAATTCTTGGCGTGTTTGGCACACATTCTTCAGAACTGGTCGAACAAAGAATGTTCTCATAAGCGTTATTGAACGCAGCATCGAGAGTAGCTTTTGATAGGGAACACATTTCTGCCCACAGATCTGACTGTAATGAGAGCAACTGCAACTAAAGCCATGGACATTGGTCCATTGGAGTTCATGACGACATGGGTGATAAAAACACCAATTAATCTAGAAAATTTCCCCAGCAGAACTGGGGCTTCTAATGCTCATGACACGGCAGACTGTGAAGGCTCAACTGCAAGAGCAGCATCAGGTGTTACACACTCAGACTGCACTGAAACAGTAGCAGTAATTCAGATCTGACCAATGAGACTGTGAAGGCTCAACTGCAAGAGCAGAATCAGGTGTTACACACTCAGACTGCACTGAAACAGTAGCAGTAATTCAGATCTGACCAATGAGACTCAGTTTCATGTGACATCTGGAATTAAAATTACAATACATGATGATGAATGTAGTTAAAATAATTCCACGTCTGAACGTGAAACTGATGAGAAGTTCAAAATTAACTGTGGTTCTCTCTGTATTTGTTCCTGTCTCAGGTTGACCACTGCGATTCCTTGGAGGTCAGATACCAGGAAGGTGCCTGTTCCCATCTGCATCAAGCCAGGACAACGGAATTGTTAGAACATAACCTGAAACGCAGGAGATGGGTGCGAAGACACTTGAAGGGGCCATTCACACCTCACAGTAGAACATTACTACACAGATATCTACATGGCCTCCCGGATTAGCACTGGAACTGAATTTTGCAACACAGATTGTTATAGATTAGATTCCACCCATCTCCCAGACATGAGCACAGAGCACACACCTCCACCACTGCATCATCACCTCATCTAGACTATCCAGTCTGAACACTACACATCACAGAAGACAATGATGGCTTAGATTACAAACTTGGTACTCCACTAAAGATCCATTGTCCATCTTCACACTGACTGAACCACATAATCTCACACACATAGCACAATAGAATTAATCCCATGATGACAGTCTAAAAAAGACACACAACATATACTATTTACAACCATCTGCAAACTCATGAAACAACACTGTAACACACATTTGCATGGCTAGTCACAGATCGATGGTGTAAATTCTAAACACAGAGGCAGACAAGCCATTACAATTTTAAATATTTAATCTTTCTGAATGTTATTAGGGTGGTTGACAAGCCAGAGGGCCCCTGGTTTCCCAACACATCACTAATAACAAAAACATTATAAAATGATCAAATGTGAAGTGCCTGCACTTCATTTCTATCAGTCAATCATAAAGTGTAAAATTTTACCAAACCATCAACTGTGACTTAGCCTGCATATCAGATACCCATTCATACACACCAAAACCCACCCACACACACACACACAAACTGTTACAAGGAATTCAGGATTTCCATTCTAGAAAAATTCTTAATCATGTTCTAAGTCATTTCTTAGAAACCTTGAATCTACATAAGTGGCTTGCATTGGAAGATTCCTGAATGAACAGTGTGATTATTATGTATACCTTCATAATTGTGATCGAATATTATTATTATTGTCATTATATGGCTTGTTTATTGATGCATACCTCTACATTAATGTTCAAGTTATACTGACCTATTGCTGCATTTCCTTTGAGTCATTCAGACCAAGAATACCTAAATTTATGCTTACATGGGATCACTCTACCATACGTGACGTTGAAAGACATTTAACACCAGATGTACCACTCGCACTTGCTGACATGAATTCATCAGGTTTCTCTTTTGTTTCATTGTTCTTATATTAACTTACGACTTTTCTATCTTACATGGGTGACGACGTTAAGTTGATCAGAATTCAATCATTGAATGGCCACTAAGATTCTTTTCAGGTGTTTCACACAAAGCAGTGTGTAAGCAAGGAGAACCCCTTCACCTATTGAAGTCTGCCCAGATAACCGCACCGCTGGAGGTGAGAGGATTCATGAAGATGGGTCAGACTATCGTCCTAGGGAAGGTGCCACAAGGAGCAGATGTTTCTCCATAAAGGAATGACACGTAAACTGAACAAGTCATAAAGGCCCAGATTGACTCACTGAACTGTGCTCACATGCTGAGCTCGGCCACAGGTAGAAACCCTGGAGACATTCATCCACCTGCCAAACTCAAGTGACACACACCTGCTGAGACTGAGTGTTCTGCAGATGAATGCAGCCCTCAGAAGGTTCCTACAGCTGCTAACATTACAAAGGCAATTTTGAGTTAACATCTCAAGGATGAACAATCACCTAACAGTGGACCCCATCGGATTCAATTGTATTGCAATTGGTAGCACTTTAATGTTAATGTTGAATCAAGACTAGTTAGCACATCATTTATAATCGAAGTGGTTTAACAACAGTATTTTGTTAGAGTTACACTTGAATTGATTACAAAATAGATGAAGGATGGTAAAATATAAACAATTAATTGTACCCAGCATGTATGTGAAATATTACCTGAGAGAGAGAGAGAGAGAGAGAGAGAGAGAGAGAGAGAGAGAGAGAGAGAGATTCTTCTCCAGAGTGCACTTTAAAAGGGTTATGGAAGAAACAATAATAAGTTACTGTCTTTGGGATTGTAAGGGTGGATTCCCTACAGTGGTTCAGGCTGTAGGATTGCCGAATGACTAAAGAAACGTTATCGGCACGATGGTATAAAACTGTACATTTCTAGTCTATTACCACCCACTGCCACTTATACCAACGACGGAAATAAGCGCAGTTAGAATAGCTAAATATGTGGGAGAGCGTTGCTATTGAGTGACTATATTGTATTGCAATAGGTAGCACTTCGATATTAATGTTGAATCAAGACTAGTTAGCACATCATTTATAATCGAAGTGGTTTAACAACAGTATTTTGTTAGAGTTACACTTGAATTGATTACAAAATAGATGAAGGATGGTAAAATATAAACAATTAATTGTACCCAGCATGTATGTGAAATATTACCTGAGAGAGAGAGAGAGAGAGAGAGGGCGAGGGAGAGAGGGCAGAGCCCCAATAAGAGAGTGCCAGCAAAGAAAAGAGGCAGCAAAGGAAAGAGCCAGAGCTACAGTTACAATCTTTTTTTTTTCCCTTCCTTGACCATGTGACTAAAAACCAAATGTGAGACATTCAAACTGACCAATCAGCAGATTACAGCTTCACCCACTGTGCAAAAGGTGTGACAATTAGCAGACATGTTGGCCTACAGGCCTTGATCACTATGATCACTTCTGTGCCTTCAGGAATGCCAAATGGTCCTTTTGTTACTGAAGATATGTTTGGGACAGTAAAGCAGAAGTCTTTGACCCTAGAAGACCCTACAAAGTCCTCCCTTGGCACCGTTGGACACACTTAAAGAGGCAAAAGTTGACACAGTCCATGAAAACATGCTTTCTGTAGTTTGCAGATGTCATCTTCAGTCTTCTGGTCCAGACTTGTTGCAATTGCATCTGGTCAGTCTTTGTTCTCCTTTCAGTCCTGTGTGAGAGATCTTCATCAAATGGTATTGCAACCTTCATAGATATGCAAATCGTCCATCAAATAATTTACACCTCCCCAAGAGCAGGCACTGAACATGGTGGAACCCATGTGTGCCTCTTTCTGAGGCTGGGCACAGGATGTGAACGCGTGCAGCAAGGATCCTGTGATTTTAAAAGATCATATGGCACAACAAACAGCAA